ACATATTTTTTTTAATCTACTTTACTTCCTGGGTAAAGTTGGGCTCCCACAAAATCTCGCACGGACTCATCTCCTCTTTTGTCCTCTTTCAGATGCCACATGGTCATTTGGTGGCCTGGAAGACTTACTGCGGATGAACCAGATGACGATTGTTTTGTTTTATATTTGGGGATTAGAGCAGGAAATTGAGGGGACAGCCCATTTTTAAGTGCCTGTCCGGTCTCCACAGAACATCCCCGTTTCTGCACGCTCGCTCTAAGCCACTTCAAGCCAAGGCCCAGCCAGCCAAGTGGAACCACCTTGTGGATCTTTTGGCATGCTAATTGAGAACGGTGGAAGAAAAACATGCTACTCTGGTCTGTCCTCTGAAGGACGTTCAAGCCTGGTGTCCACCGAGCAGTGCAGTTTCGTACACTCATCATTTTGGGGTCTTTAACCGTGACAAAGGGTTGAAAAGAAACAAAACAAAAAACGAGGCCTGGTCATGATTTGCCGTGTGCCGATCGCAATCAGACGGCTTGGTGGAAGCGAAGCTTACTTGGATCACTTTGACTCGAGAACATCCCATTTCTGTTCTGTTGCTTCCACATTTTTTTTCTTCTTCTTGTATCACGTGAGGTGCTCTATTCTTTAGTGTGAGGCGCTGAGTGCACCCGAGCACCACATTTGCTGGGGATTGGTTTTTCAACCTTTGAAATAAAGCCCTAAAAAAACTATGTTCAGATTTTTTTTTTTGTGGGTGTGGGACACACAACATACAGCATCGAACAGGCTCACTCAGTTGGAGTTAGCAGCATACTAACCAGCTAGCATTTCACTAACTGACGCATATTAAACATCGATTCAGTTTTTCCTCACGTCGTTCACAGTTTACTAAATCAAGGGCTGTACTTTGATGTTAATAAGTACTTGAGTACAGTAACGCACGCAGTTCAAATTCATGTCATGTGGTAGCTGACCAAATGTTCTCATTGCATTATTATTAGCTTCAGGAAGTGCAGTCTGTTAGCTAATTAGTGTAAAAGCATGAAGCAAAATAGACCATTAGAAGTAAAACATGCCTGAAAGTGTGGTCAGTCAGTACATTTAAAAAAAAAAAACAAAACAAAAAAAAAACACCTTATTTCCCTCAGAACATTTAATCATTTTTTTCTACATTCACTTTTTAGACAGTGTATTGATGTTTTCCATCCATATGATTATACTGTCAACTCAAATTAGAAAATATAAACAAAGAAAACAAGTAAAAAAAAAAGAGAAGAGGATGTATAACAACAAGGATATATATATTTATGTATTTGTAAAAAGCACATTCTTATTAATAAGCTCTGGAATGGAATCAGAGGTCCCCCACACACCCTCTAAAACATTATCATATGAAAATCTAACATGTTTTTTTTCCAATTCATATTGTTTTTAATCAGCCATGAATAGAATGTCATAATAATAATAAATAATAAAGTGATTGGATTGGTCCATGAGGTAAAAATGTGAACTAAAACAAAGTCAATTAACAACAGTGTGTGATGTTATTCTTAGGAAAAAGCACACACGCCTGCGTACACACGCACGCACCCACACACGCACACACACGGCACTCAAATGTCATCTTCACAAAGCCACTTGATGGATGTATTGTATTTATAATAATTCCACACACAATGTACCCACGTGAAATATGCCAATCGACCACGCGCCCCGTTCTAGTTGATGGACGTCAATCCAAAAACATCAGACTCGCTTGTTCAAATATTAGCAAGCGCTGCCGACAAGTGCGAGCTCTCGTCCGACACGTAGCATGTGTGGTTAGGATTACGCTTGGCTACCTTGCCAACTTCACTCGGTCATTGTCGGGAGGTTAGCGTCACAGCGTAGTATTAGCCCAAACTCAATGCTTTGCCGGACTAGCCTGACTGTTTGGGCGCATATGTTTGGGGAATTATCTCAGCGTGAAGCTAACTGACACGCTCCCATCAAAATTAGCTACTTCATAGTCGGACTGAATCGAGTTAGCGACATAGCATAGCATGAGGCTAACCGACCGCTCTGCCACATTATAAAAAAAACCCAATTGTTGGGGTGCATGATGTCAGTGAGTTAGCGTAGCATGATGCTAACTGCAGGTACACTTTCCTTTATTATGTGTCACATTGTCGGAGGGCATATGGTGAGCTGCGTAACATGAAGCTAACCGACTGCTCTCCCTCCATCCTCACGAGCTGGATTGCTGGGGTGTCAGTAGTTAGCGGTAGCGCAGCATGGAGATAAATGAATGCTCGCCACCCTCCATCTTTAAGAGCCTTATTGTTAGCCACATAGCATAGCACGAGTGGACGACTATATTAAATAAAAGAGCACTTTTGTTTGTGTGGTTGATGTTTTTTTTGTCAGAAATTAGCGCAAAGCTAAGAAGCGTAGTAAGCGGCAGACGCATCACATTGTTTTTGGCAGCCGGGGGGGGGGTAAAAATTTATTAATTGACACACATTCGCTGATATTTTTTTATAGGAATATTTGATGCGCTTAACGTTTTATGAGCAGAGAAAATGTTGCCTTCAACAAAGCCAGCGTACATGTTTTGGGAATAATTGTAAACAATTTGGTCTTGGATTAACCTAAAGTACTTTTTTTTGTTGTAAATTATCGGTCCAATAAATCATGTAGCGGCTCAGACACACCTGACGTACGCATTTTCCATTTCCAGCAGAAGGAACGACGAGAGCGAGAGGAGCACAACAGCTGCAGCTCGCCCGCAAAACCCTCGCCCGCGGTCGCCCCCAAAGAACCAAAGAAGACGACCAAAGGGAGCGCCAAGGTTCAACCCGAAGTGGCGAAGCGAGCACCGGCCCAGGTTCGGCCGGCGGTCCCAGAGCCGGTCCCCTCTGAGAAGGCGCCTGGAGAAGCCACTCCAGAACCACAACCAGCAAGTCAGGCAAGAACATCTTAACTTGCAAAAATGGTGACGTCAGAGTCAAAACAGAAACTCCAGAAGTTTTAGAACTTTCACATGCAACCCGGTGAAAGAGGTCAATCCCCTGCAAAACTGTAGCATCGGAGCTAGGCTGGCATAAGTTGTGCTAGTTTAAAAAGGGGGGCAGAGGGCGATGGTCGATTGTATGGGACGGTTCTAGGGTGGGGGAGTGGGATCACGATGGCGTCATGGATAGCAGCCAAAGCACATCTGTCCGCCGAAACTTAAGAAACAGCCCCAGAATCTCTGAAATCGTCTCCAGACGCAGGGACAGAAGAGGAAGTAGAGGGACGTCTGTGCCAAAAGAAGGCAGGCTTTGATTTCTCATCCCCCCCCAGATGTTTTTTTCCTTGCCCTCCTGGTGGTTAAGATCGGGGCATGTCGTGAATGCTCATCAACCGTGGGCATGGGAGGCCTTCTGAGACTTTTGTGATTCAGGGCTATAGAAATAAATCTGACTTGACTCTACGTCCACGTTTATTCACGTTTGTTTATCCATTTGGGGATGTGAAGCTTCGCTAGCCCTAAATTAAAGATGGATGCCAGTATAATGGATGAATTATTGAATGTCACACTGTGGGAGGCTTGCAATTATTCATGTGGCCTCAAACACTTGGCCAGGGGGTGGGGGTGCGGGGTCTTCTTGGGTACTCCCTGTGTAAAAACCGTCCCGTCCTTCTTTGGTCTACTTTCCTCCACGGGTAATGCATTCTATCCTTGTGTATCTTTGGTCGACTCTCCTTCCTGGATAACAAGCCCTACTTTACTTCTTGGTCGAATTGCTGGGTAGCAACCTTCCTTCTTTGGTCTGCTTCACTTTTCTGGGTAAAAACCTTCTTTGGTCTCTCTCTACTCGACTTTGTGGGTAAAAATTGTCCGTACTTCCTGGGGAACCGCCTTCCTTTTTTTTGGTCGACTTGACTTCCTGGATAACAACTTTAGTTCTTTGCTAGACGACACTTGCAGTGTAAAAAATATCCATCGCACATCCTGGTTAGCAACGTTGCTTTGTGGTGTTTGTCTGCCGTACTTTTCAGGTAATAAAGGGATTTTTTGGTACTCATCTACCTCCCTGGTAGCAAAAGTTCACTTGTACCAATCTGACCAAACACATTTTTGCAGGGTGGCTGGGCGGGTGATCAGGTTTGGTTCACGCTTGGAAATCAAGATGTCCGAATTCTTGGCTGGATGACTCACATTGGTCCTCTCCTCTACAGATCAAATGCAAAGTCTTGGCACCGGAACCTGCAGCAGACGCAAGTCAGCCCTTTGCTGCAGCTGAACCAAAACCAGCTGCAGCACAGAAAGTAGAACCCAAATCAACTCAGGAAGTGGTCTCCAATGCACCAGAATCAAAAACCGTAACTGAGGAAATAAAGCCAGTAGAGCAAGTTGTCACTCGCGTACCAGAATTGGTCAGTTGCAACTTTAACTCACAACCAGTCATTGAAACAGAACTGGCCGCTAAAGTGAAACCAAAATTTGGAGAGCAGGTTGGTGCTAGTGTGCCACAAACGCTTAGTTGCACACTCAACTCAGAAAAAGGAATTAACGCAGAACCGCCCCTTAGGGCAGAATCACAAATGGTCGAGCAGGTTGTGGTTAGTGTACCAGAGCTCGACCCAAAACCAGAACAAGTGGCGATCCAACAGATGGCAGAGGAGGTCATCTGTTGCACCTTTGCCCCACAACCGGTAGTCGAAGCAAAACTGGCCGTTAAGGTAGAATCAGAGTCGGTAGAGCAAGTTGTCGCCAGTGTACCAAAACTCATCAGTTGCACCTCTGACTCGGAATCGTTAGAGCCGTCTGGTGTATCAAAACAAACGGAAGCCACAGAGATCCCTGAACCAGAACCCAAGAAGATCCCTAAACCAGAACCGGTTGCTGGAGGACAACAGACAGCGGAACAGGGCTTTGGCTGCTCCCTGGACCAAAAACCCATTGTTGAACCAGAGAAGGACCTCGTCCCGGTACCAAAACCAGCGGATGTTGCTCGCATAATTCAACCAGAACCCGAACCAAAGGTGGCAGCAGAACCTGTTGAAATCCATGAGGTGCGTACCACACTCTCAGTTCTATCGACGATTGTTAGATGCTTGGATGCTATATTTTTCTCCCCCACCCCCCAGGACGCTGCCGCCGCCACTCTGCAATGTCCCTCGGAAGAGAGCAGCATAGCATCTCGTCAGATGCAGCTGGAATCAACAATGGTGAGGTGGAAGACACGGTCCCTTGCTCTAAACAACGCAGTTGTTTTTGTCGTGCATGGACTGAAGACTGTGTGTTCAGGAAATACCGTTGGAGGCAGCGATGAATGGTCACCTACTTCCAAAGGTCTCCAACGAAGGATAGTCCTGGTAAGCCTGTTCTTTGATACCAGCCAGGCATGATTCCTTGGTACCAATTTTCTTTGTTCAGGGGTAGCAACCTCTCATTCATAAGTACCGGCTGACCTTACTTCCTGCAAGCAACAAGCTTCCCTCTTTGTGACCGTTCTACCTTACTTACTAGGCAACGACCCTCATTCTTTAAAACTGTTTGTCTAATTTCCCAGGTAGCAACTTTAGGTTTTTGGTCTAACTGACTTCCATCCATCCATCCATTTTCTAATCGGCTTCTCCTCACAAGGGGGGTGCTGGAGCCTATCCCGGCTCTCTTCGGTCAGTAGGCGGGAAACACCCTGAACCGGTTGCCAGCCAATCGCAGGGCACACAAAGACGAACTACCATCCGCACTCACACCTCAGCAAAATTTTGAGTGTTCCATTGACGTGCCACGCATGTTTTTGGAATGTAGAAAGAAAACCGGAGTACCCGGAGAAAACCCGCGCAGGCACGGGGAGAACATGTAAACTCCATACAGGAAGGCCGCAGCCGGAATCGAACTCTGCACCTCCGCGCTGTGAGGTAGACAAGCTAACCAGTCGCCCACCGTGCCGCCCCCACCCCCATCTTACTTTTCGAGTGAAAACGTTCCATACTTCCTGGGTAACAATCTTCGTGCTTTGTTGCTGGTCTGCCAGACTTTCTGGGTGCCATCCTTCCGTATTTGGTGCTGCTTCGGTGGAATGACCGTCTTTCTTTGGTACAGATCTGCCTTACTCCTCAGGTTGACTGTTTCGCACAAGTGTGCCTTACTTTCTGGGTAAATAACCTTTACTGGGTGTCACCCGTTTTTGGGTACTGGTCTGCCTAACCCATTTAATAACAACCACCACCATTCATCTTCTGCCGGTTTACTCTCCTTCTGGGGTAAAATACATCCTTCTTCGGTACCTCTCCACTTTCCTTGCTGCGTGACAACCTCACATATTTTTTTTAATCTACTTTACTTCCTGGGTAAAGTTGGGCTCCCACAAAATCTCGCACGGACTCATCTCCTCTTTTGTCCTCTTTCAGATGCCACATGGTCATTTGGTGGCCTGGAAGACTTACTGCGGATGAACCAGATGACGATTGTTTTGTTTTATATTTGGGGATTAGAGCAGGAAATTGAGGGGACAGCCCATTTTTAAGTGCCTGTCCGGTCTCCACAGAACATCCCCGTTTCTGCACGCTCGCTCTAAGCCACTTCAAGCCAAGGCCCAGCCAGCCAAGTGGAACCACCTTGTGGATCTTTTGGCATGCTAATTGAGAACGGTGGAAGAAAAACATGCTACTCTGGTCTGTCCTCTGAAGGACGTTCAAGCCTGGTGTCCACCGAGCAGTGCAGTTTCGTACACTCATCATTTTGGGGTCTTTAACCGTGACAAAGGGTTGAAAAGAAACAAAACAAAAAACGAGGCCTGGTCATGATTTGCCGTGTGCCGATCGCAATCAGACGGCTTGGTGGAAGCGAAGCTTACTTGGATCACTTTGACTCGAGAACATCCCATTTCTGTTCTGTTGCTTCCACATTTTTTTTCTTCTTCTTGTATCACGTGAGGTGCTCTATTCTTTAGTGTGAGGCGCTGAGTGCACCCGAGCACCACATTTGCTGGGGATTGGTTTTTCAACCTTTGAAATAAAGCCCTAAAAAAACTATGTTCAGATTTTTTTTTTTGTGGGTGTGGGACACACAACATACAGCATCGAACAGGCTCACTCAGTTGGAGTTAGCAGCATACTAACCAGCTAGCATTTCACTAACTGACGCATATTAAACATCGATTCAGTTTTTCCTCACGTCGTTCACAGTTTACTAAATCAAGGGCTGTACTTTGATGTTAATAAGTACTTGAGTACAGTAACGCACGCAGTTCAAATTCATGTCATGTGGTAGCTGACCAAATGTTCTCATTGCATTATTATTAGCTTCAGGAAGTGCAGTCTGTTAGCTAATTAGTGTAAAAGCATGAAGCAAAATAGACCATTAGAAGTAAAACATGCCTGAAAGTGTGGTCAGTCAGTACATTTAAAAAAAAAAAACAAAACAAAAAAAAAACACCTTATTTCCCTCAGAACATTTAATCATTTTTTTCTACATTCACTTTTTAGACAGTGTATTGATGTTTTCCATCCATATGATTATACTGTCAACTCAAATTAGAAAATATAAACAAAGAAAACAAGTAAAAAAAAAAGAGAAGAGGATGTATAACAACAAGGATATATATATTTATGTATTTGTAAAAAGCACATTCTTATTAATAAGCTCTGGAATGGAATCAGAGGTCCCCCACACACCCTCTAAAACATTATCATATGAAAATCTAACATGTTTTTTTTCCAATTCATATTGTTTTTAATCAGCCATGAATAGAATGTCATAATAATAATAAATAATAAAGTGATTGGATTGGTCCATGAGGTAAAAATGTGAACTAAAACAAAGTCAATTAACAACAGTGTGTGATGTTATTCTTAGGAAAAAGCACACACGCCTGCGTACACACGCACGCACCCACACACGCACACACACGGCACTCAAATGTCATCTTCACAAAGCCACTTGATGGATGTATTGTATTTATAATAATTCCACACACAATGTACCCACGTGAAATATGCCAATCGACCACGCGCCCCGTTCTAGTTGATGGACGTCAATCCAAAAACATCAGACTCGCTTGTTCAAATATTAGCAAGCGCTGCCGACAAGTGCGAGCTCTCGTCCGACACGTAGCATGTGTGGTTAGGATTACGCTTGGCTACCTTGCCAACTTCACTCGGTCATTGTCGGGAGGTTAGCGTCACAGCGTAGTATTAGCCCAAACTCAATGCTTTGCCGGACTAGCCTGACTGTTTGGGCGCATATGTTTGGGGAATTATCTCAGCGTGAAGCTAACTGACACGCTCCCATCAAAATTAGCTACTTCATAGTCGGACTGAATCGAGTTAGCGACATAGCATAGCATGAGGCTAACCGACCGCTCTGCCACATTATAAAAAAAACCCAATTGTTGGGGTGCATGATGTCAGTGAGTTAGCGTAGCATGATGCTAACTGCAGGTACACTTTCCTTTATTATGTGTCACATTGTCGGAGGGCATATGGTGAGCTGCGTAACATGAAGCTAACCGACTGCTCTCCCTCCATCCTCACGAGCTGGATTGCTGGGGTGTCAGTAGTTAGCGGTAGCGCAGCATGGAGATAAATGAATGCTCGCCACCCTCCATCTTTAAGAGCCTTATTGTTAGCCACATAGCATAGCACGAGTGGACGACTATATTAAATAAAAGAGCACTTTTGTTTGTGTGGTTGATGTTTTTTGTTTTTTTTTGTCAGAAATTAGCGCAAAGCTAAGAAGCGTAGTAAGCGGCAGACGCATCACATTGTTTTTGGCAGCCAATTTGTATAGTTGTCTGCAATACTGACAGACACTGACACAGCAGATGTTAGCATTTTAGCATGTAGCCTTTTTTGTTTGCAAAAGTCATTGTGATTTCTCAGCATTCGGGGAATTCCTCAATCTCGTCCCGATTTTCACTCCTCGAATGTTTGAAGTGAGTTAAGAGTGTTGTTTTTTTTTCCTTGCGAGGACATGGAGAGATAGCGAAGGGAGTGAAAGAGGGACACCTCCCAGAGTCTGTGCAAGACCTCTGAACCCCGCAAAAACAGAAGGCCCAATGTGGGCTCAGTCTCGTCCAATCAGGCTCCAGAGGGCTCCATGTTTGTTCAAATGCAGTCCACATCCGGACCGTCTTTTAGTGTCATTTTTGTTGTTTTTCCTACTAAAATAGCGCTTTGGATCCCTGGTTCTCAAATTCTGACCAGGCGTCGTTCAGCTCCATGAAGATCATCTTAGCGTAGTCCTCGTAAGGTTTGCCCGTTGCCTGAAGGGGACGCCGTTGAGTCAAAAACAGGGAGGAAGGGCAAAGGTGGGGGAAAAAAACGAATGAATGCGTGCTTATTAATTCAATTAAACCACAAATAATCAATTATCAAATGACCTTATGTTGATCTAGAGGAGTCGATCTTATCGAATTAAAAATGACACTCATGTTACGAATGCGTCTTCTCCATGCTCCTTGCCTGTGTCTTCATTTGCTATTTGTGTGTTGGACTATTTATCTCATCCGATAAACGGCTGAAAGTGCATCTGCGACTTTCCTTGCCCGCATGCAAGGGCCCAATCCCAAGTCCGGGTACCACTGTATGTCTGTAGATGCGGTGTGTCCAAAGCGCACCTTATCTGGATGGACCACGAGGACGGCCTTCCTGTAGAACTTCTTCACCTGGTCCGGCGTGACCAGGTCGGCCATGCCCACCGGCCTCCAGCGGGTCTCGCCCTCCCACAGCACCGTGTGCAATGTGGACAGCAGCGCGCGAATGTTCCTCTCCTTGCCCTCGATCCAGTCTAAGATCTAATCGGCGGGAGGACAAAATGTTGTTTGAAAGCATGCGGCCGGGTCGGGGAGCTCACCAAGAGAACTATGAAAAGCTACAAGAAAGATTACAAATGCATTTTTCCACATTTTCCAAAGTGGAGTTTTGCAGTCCTGGTGAGGAACTCATTTTCCAAAGCTGAAGTTTTGCAGCCCTGGTGAGGAACTCGTGTTATTGTAGCGCTCTAGAGATTTTTAAATTTTTTTTTTAAACTTACTTTCTTTTTCATATCTCAGTGTTACCAATGGTTTTGAAGCCACGCTCCCTTTTTGACAAAAAGTCATTTGTGGCGTGGTGGGAGGCAATGAGCCCGCCCTTACAAAATGTTTAAACTCATCGACTGCTAAATTAATTTCTAGCTTTCTTAAATCAGCAGTGGAACACGGGCTTGGTTCATCATAAAGACTGGTTTCTGACTAAAAAGGAGAAAAAAATAAGTTGTTTGTGCAAATAGAAGTGCAAAGCAGAGCAGAGATTTTGACACAATTTTTGGGGTGACACCTCTACTATGAAACAACAAAAACCAGACCGGAAAATGGCTTTTGGTGACAAAATATAAACATTCACGAGAGCGCATACCTGCAGTTTAAGGGGATCCATTTCCTTTGTGATCTCCTGCCTCCTCATTTCCGCAATGGTCCTGGGCCCTTTTTTATCCGTCTTGGAAGAAAAGCCCTGAGTTGACAGCAGGTCCCCAAAGTCGTCCTCCGTGACCTTGGGCTTCGGCCCTGCATCGTGACAACACAAGGAGCAAGAAAGACACCATTTTCAGCCAACATTTGCAGCATACACGCGAGCCAGGACGGCGGGGAAATACCGAATCCCGGAGGCCGAACGCCCCTCTCCTCGCGACCTCCGATGACACTGGGGAAGTTGAAGTTATAGTTGGGCTTGCCGGCGGACGGCGGGGCCGCCGACGCTTTGGGCGCAGACCCGGATCCGGACTGCCAGGGTTTGTTGTGGCCCTGGGGGGCTTTGCCGCCTTGCCAGGATGCCGGCGGGCCTTGAGGCTTCGCCGAAGACGAAGAGGAGGACGGTGCAGCCTTGGTAGGCCCGGCGAAGTTATTGTTGGTCGAACCTGGAAGCAACCAGTTGGAGGCACTTCAGCTTCATTTGAAAAGTGCAACTGTGCTGTGTCAGCTCATGTCCTATTTTGATTCAGTTTGAGCATTTTCATTGTATGGAATGTAAAGAAGTGATTTGTACGGCGGTAAAATCGGAAGGCATCACATTGTGGTGTAACTGGAGTGAATCGTGCCGCACCGTCAATCTGGAGAATCAAATTGCAGCGGAATCGGAGTGACTGATTGTTTTGTAATTGAAGAGAAGCTGACTGTGGGGAAGTGCTGCGAATCGGAATTGAAGCGAATCGTGTATGATTATGCAAGTACATTGTATTGTATCGTAATTGGAGTGAACTGCACATCATCGGTATTAAATGAAAATGACAGGTTCATATTTACTTGGTAAATTGGAGCTGAGGTTGCCCAAATCAGCGAAGGGATCGAAGGTCTGAGACTTGGTCTTGTTCACGGATGACATACTCGAGGCTGCGAGCACACAAATGTGACGGTTCACCAATAAACAAACACACAAACATGATGTATTGTAACGCATTCAAGTACGTAGGCCGACTCTTACCGGCGCTGACGTAGGCGGGCCTGCTGGCAGTGGCACTCATGCCCGCCGACGTGCTCGCCGCCCAGCTGTCCCACCCGCTCAGGAGGTCCGGGTGACTGGCTGACGACGTCATCTTCGGAGCGCTGTTTACTAACTTATCTGACGGCAAGTACAAATATGAATACGTCCACACGAGCGTCAGAATATAGGAAGGCGAAGGAAGGGCTGGAACTCACTGAGGTCAAAGAGGCTGGCGTTGGAAGTCGGAGCCGCTTTGCTCGGCGCCAAACTCTCGGAACCCATCAGGTCCCCGAACAGGTCGGGGCCGGAGGCCTGCCGGGACGAGCCCACGCTGGAGCCCACCCCTGAGCTGGAGCCCATCCCGAACGGGTCAAACGGGTCGCTCATGGCTGCCGCCCCCCCCAAAAAAAAGCACAGCACGCCTTGCATATTTACTGTCTATGTCAAACACATTCAATGACACTAAAGTTTGTGAAGAAAGACCCCTTTCATTCTTTCTTTCTTCCTGACGCATATGATGATTGGCCAGTGGATCAAACGGCCGCAGTAAGCGCCGACTGCTGG